TTTAAGGCTCTTTTTGTTCCTTTCCTCGTCTTTGGCTTTGTTAATCTGCTTTTTGTGTGCTCAATCATAGACTGTCATAAACTCACGTCAACAGATTTATTATACATAAATGTCAGAAAACGAAAAATTGATTCATTCACCGGCAAGAAAATCCAAACTCAATCCCGAAAAGTTGAAGACCCAAAAGGAAAGTTATCTTTCCATGACTGCCTAATTGCAAGCTAAATTTAAATGAATATAGTTACTAAATCCAAGCTTTATGTGCCACAATGTTGAAAAAACTATAATGTTTCAGGAAAATGGTTACGATCTTAAGCTTGAGGAAAACCAGGATCCTGGATTACCCATTGAAAACAACATCTTTAATTTTAAATTTTCCGACGAAGTTGTGCTATCAGCGTAATCGTCAGAAACATAAACAATCACTTCACTGCATACCCTTTACTCTGAAAATTCTCATTTCAATACAAACAAGCCTTATAAGTTCTCATTTCACCCTTCTACTGTTCAATCAGTCTCTCATTTTAGAACTGATTAATTGATGGATAACACTTCTACCCAAGCAAAAAATTATGACAGCTGGGCAATGCACTTTCTGGGTATACCGTAAAGGCGATCAGTTCTATGTGTGACTAACTCTATTCATTGCAGCTGGTTGGATTTTATTGTTATCTTCATCCAAGCGTGACTTATTATTGAGATTTTATCCGCTGTAAATTTGATAAATTACCAGTGACATGTGTAGTAGGGTGAATGATTTTGGAATCATTCAAGATATGGATTTATGACAGTAAAGAGTGTATTATATATATATATATATATATAAAATGCTTCAGGTGTTGCACATCAATGATAAATGATTCTCTTTTCTTTATTACAAATATTCACTAACTGTCTTAATTTCATAGCAACAGAAAAACGAAAATATATAGTTGTTTAAACTACGTCTGCTGATTTAATCTTTATATGAGTTTGACCCGATTTGCTTTTTTAAAACTCATTATCGTTTCATAATATCCGCAATGTCCTCCCTGAAAGGCTTAAAATGTGCATAAAAAAGAGATAGAAGATTTGCGATGCAAATAAGTGTATCCTTGCTATATTTTTATTTTATTTGCTGCAATCTTCTGGCAAAATAGTTGTTATTCAGAGTCAATTTATGCGCAATTAGATAGTGCTTCGTTTTTGTTATAAAGGTGTTACCTTAAATAATTTCGCTATGAAGTTGATGCTTAAAATAATTTTCTGCGCAGTACTCAGGTTAATATATTCGGTTCTCCCCAATATTATATCATTTGTAACGCTGGCTTCAGTTCTAATTTTTAATTTCTGTTTCTTATTCAATTTTTATTAACTATTCGTTCAGTTTGCAACTTACAGATTTTAATAAGAAATGATTAAGCGTTTCTACGAAGTCATTGAACTAATCTTATGCACCCATGTATTAATTGCATAAAATGATTCAAAATAATTATTTTTAGAACTTAAAGCACCTGTAGGACGTTCAATTTTTTTTATTTTATAACGTAAAAACATTTAGCGCCTTTATCACTAATAAATATGTGATAATTTCAGATTAGAAAAGGTGTTTTAAACAGAAATCGAGCGCACAAGCTCTAATCATTGACCCTGAGATAGGAATTTGGTGAATTTTATGTTTTTCCAACAAATCATTCGCGATCTAGGAAGTATAAGTTATTGCGTGGGAATGAAAGTATGAATTGATAAATTCTGAACAGAACTAAGTTTTGCTATGACTTTCTACCAATGTAATAGTTTACATTAAAAATGGAAACTCCCATTCCACCTGGAATCATATTTCAGATCTGTCGATAACTGGGTTTAGGAAACTAATTTCCTGGTTTACGGTTATAAAATCTTTTCCTGGATGTTCATTATTCTTGCTATCTTATTAATTCAGTGTAAATCTTCCCTAAAGCTACTTGAAGTGGATATTGCTGGTATCATAATTTGCTCAGGCTTAGCTCCTATCATATGTAATTATTAGCTGCCTCAATCTTCATACTACTTTGTTAACTCTTCTCTAGACTATTTCAATTCATATTACTGCCTTTTGATATTTGTAAAATTTCGCACACATTATCTGTTGCGGAAATAAAACATAATTTACGTCTGTTGGATAAGATTTTTTGATTGGTCTATTCTGCACCAACAAATTTTCGACGTCTGACTCTGATTTATTACTAAAAGCAAAAATCTCATCATGCCTCGAAAGATGCAAAAATCTCACGGAAGCATGTTAGCTTTGAAAATTTTAAACATGATAGCAGATAGAATAAAGTATGTTGATATTATCCTTAAGCATAATCTGGGAAATGTAATTCAGAAAGAAACAAATGAATTGCTTCCGGAATGCTTAGAATTTCAGGAATGATATGGAAAATAGATGGTAAAAAGTGCTATTAGAAAATGAGCATTTTTCTTTTCATTATGCGATTGAATGAGTTAGAAATAGATTGTTAAGCAATTTAGGAGGTTAGTAAAAGAGGATTGATTAGAAGTTATCTGATTACATCACTTTCAGTAAGAGCTTTTCAAGAATTTTTCCAATCATCTCTTCTTCGTCAAACGAAACGCAAAGATTGTTTAGAAATGAAATTATCATATGAGTGGAGAAATTGTTTTCATAACAAATACATTTAATACAATTAGTTACTAATAAATATTTTGTTGTTCCCATTCTGAATCATTATAAATTCTAAATGGTTGGGAAGCTGGTTGGTACGAATAATATAACGCAAGCAAGTAAGCAAATTCTGTTAATTTTATACCGGAATTAAGCAATAAAATTACCACCAGACTCCGTAATCTTGGAATTATTTAGAGAATTCCAGAATGCTCGGTGTCAATAAAAATCGTATGGAAATGATAATAAATGATGAAGTGATCATTGTAATCTTAAATTCTGTTCTCTTCAAAGTTTTATTTATCATAGTAAGGAGTAGTAGGGTGCCCGTTGTGTTCCTGAGAAGCGCTAATCCATAATGTCTCTAGCAAATCATTGAAGTACAGATATATATATATATATATATATATATATATATATATTCATACGCTAGCATTTATGAATAGAAACGAAATGTTTTATCTTGCGTAGATATTTCATATTGTCACTAAAAGTTCTTAACTCATCCTTGCTGACAAGCAAATATTTAATCACTGATTTCTTATCTTCTGTTCTTTACTTATATGATTTATCAATTCGAATACTTGCTTATGTGATAACGATCTCTTGTCACTTCTAATTTTTTTTTAGTTTAATTTCGAATCTTTCTGAATCATTTCTTTTCATTGTGCTCTTCTTTTTTGATTGTTTTGAACAAAATTGTGCTTTTCAATTGCAATTGACGACATACGTACATGAAAATCGATCATTCTCATTTGTGAATTTTAAAATGGCATTTGCATTTGCCTGGATGATTTAAATTAGTTCCATTAATCCTATAGAATTGAATTACTCATAAAATATTTCACAGGAATTCATTTTACACTGGCAACTATCAAGATAAATAATCGAGAATTGAAGATTTGGTCTTAATTGTTGAAACGTTTTTGTCAGGATGCTCCTGGAAGCATTGATGATCATCGTTTTATTTGTCCGTGCAGCACAGTCAGTAAGTAAGTTATGATTTTGCTATGTGCAATTTCTTATTTTAACATATGTAGTAATTTTTAATCTCCTAAAGGTCACAACTTTAATGTGGCTTAATCAATTCATGGGTATAGAACTTCTTACGCTAGATAATAAAAAGTTTATGTATGATAGCGATTATTATTTACAAACTTGCGAATTATTCCATATTGCTAGTATTTTATTACTGAAATTATAAAAATCAAATCTTTCAATTTTTGTCCAACTGATCATGAACCTTAAAATGCGTTTGGCATTATATTGTCTGTTGCTCCCACTATAGAAAAGTTATGATGGTAACTGAGTGGATTTCGATGGACTTTCTTAGTATCCACTCGCTTGAAAGAGAATGACAATCGTCACTGAGGAAAAAAATATCGGATTGAGGCAAGTAAAAATTGAAAATATTGATAGATAGACTTTTGAAAACATCTTCTGAATATTATGATGTCTGTTGACGTTGCTATTTTTCTCAAGAAATTAGATAAAAATTGACAAATAGAATTGAGCGACGTCCAATTAACTTGATAAATCACTTTTTCTGTTTTTAATGTGCAATTTCTCTTGACCACTGATCTCTTGATCAACAACCTCTGTTGACCACACTGTTGGACATTTACATTCACCAACATTCATTTATTCATACTATGATAAAGCGTGGAAAAGTTGTTTTAAAGAGAGTTATGATTGAAAATATCGGGGTGAAATATCTAAGAAATTGTGGTGCATTTTAAAGAACGGGTACAGTGAAGCTCAGGCGACCATGTCAAGTATTTATAGTAATGCCGGCTCTAACCCTAATTCTCTTCTACCACTTCCTATTTCTTTCTCTCCCCTCTTTTATATACATATATGTAAAATTACTGATTATATATATGTATGTATATATAATCAGTAATTTTCAATTTTATTCAATTTTCTAACAATTGATGTTGCTTTTATATATAACACAAAGATATTAAAATCGTACAGAGTTGCGAAGGTCGATGAATTGAGCTCATTTTATGTTGCTAACTTTTTATTTGAATTCTTTTTGTAGCTCATAGAACATACTTTCAAAAAAAATTGTAATTTGAGGTTTTATGAAATAACATTTCATAGAAACATACTTTTACCTAAGTAATATTCTTGGAACACCTGTAATTTCATATTTTGAAACATAACAATTTCATTAAGACACTATTATCATTATTCCAATGATGAATGATGCCGAGAAACAAAACAAATATAATTAATGATGAACGGAAGCTTAAATCTCTGAACATATTTTGGACCACCAAAATACGCATATACGGCATTTCGCTTCAGGTTGATTTTTATGCCAATGACAAATAAGAATGAAGGCAAAATGAACTCTGCACTTTATTCGGTAAATCTTTCAGCATCACGATGCTTCTATCTTCCAAACATTGCACTGGTCGGGGGTACATACGATGAATTCAATGCAAATGATATTAAGGTGATATTGTTTTTTTCCATCAAATATTGAAGAAACTATCGATAAGATTATTGATGATCAGGAATGGAACTTGAAAATCTTTAACATAGTACAGTATTTGCAGCTACTCTGATTGGCTTAAGTTGTCAGCAAAACATTACATTTTTATTAGTAAAAAAAATTTAGCACAAAAATGCAATAAAAATGATTTTAGAGATGTTGCATAGCATGTGCTCAGGATCATTGCTGTCTTGGCTATACATACAGTAAAACAAGAAAGCGATGTTATTTGAAGTCAGCAATGTCCGACTCCGAAATCAATTATGAAGCAATTAGTGGTTTAAAAGCGAATACTCACTCAGGCACATATTTTTCATTTGAGGAAAGTCTAAAACAAGACAATATGGGTAATGTGCAAAATGATTCAGTTGCATTTTAAGTCACAACTGGGTCTTAGTAGTGGAGCGTTGAGGTTTAATTTTGTCAAAATAAGGAAGGGTAAAAAACATAAACATAACAATCCATCAACACCACTCCCGCAGTAACCAAAGTCCTAATATGAACTAAACAAATTTGTTATTAATAATAGATCTCGCAAAATTCATGAAAAACTGGCCTAGAAAGGATATTTAGATGAAAAATTCTCAGTGCAGCTTATTAGGTGATCAAAGATTGTTGCAGGACAGGGTTCATTTTTGAAAAATGTGAAAATAGAAGGTGGTGCAACAGCGGCAGTACTTTTTAGGAAGCCTGAAGAATGTCAGCAGTATTGTACAGGTTAATATTCATATGTGATTTCAGTTATTTTAGAACAAGGATTTTGTGAATGAAATGACTTTTAAAATGGATAAAATAAATGTTCGAAGTAAGTTACATGCGAAAAGATGTTGGCAAAATTGTTTATTGACAAATGTCAATAAATGAAATCGTTGGTATGCGACTTCTAATCTAACTAATCTGTCAAAAATTCTCTCTAATTCATGATTTAGCCTATGGGATATATTCATGGAGTCCACCATCTCCAGAAGAGGAACAAGAAGAAGGACATTGTGTATGCATGACACGCATTCAATCACTTCAGTATTCATATGGATCCCGTTCTGCCATATTTCCACCTGTTGCATCAATCAATTGAATTCTGTTCATTATTCATTTATTTTATTACTTATATTTATGAAATGTCAAGAAATTGGTGTGCTAAAAATTTGAGGACTTTCAAAAGTGTGTGATATTACATGTCTGTATACTGTAATAATTTTGTTTCGATGAGTCGTATTTTTGGAAGCACCTCTTTCGATATCCATCTGTTAATTAAATTAACTGGCATTTTTGAATTCGTTTGAGAACTTTAGAGTTCCATAAACTTATAACGTATGCACAATAAAAAGATAGCGTTGAAAGCTAAATCCTGATTTTCAAAAATTCAAATGCATTTGAATGCTGCATAAAAAGAAATCGAATTTTGCAACAGAAAATTTAGCAGCTTTTCATACAATCGTTTTCCAGCTGGAATATATACATTAACTATTTCTTTATGTAAATTCAAGTCTTTTTTTAGGTAACATGCAATTCACCGAATTTATATGAATAAGTAAAAAAGGAAATTGGCATAATTGATGTTAATTAAGTTTTAAATTTAACCTTTGCAATTAAATTTGAGAAGTTTTAGGAACATTTTTTTACAGTCATATTAGCTGTGTCGTTTTTAAGGAGTAATTATTTCTAGTAACATAGTTTATTAAATTTACTACTAATAGTATTTTGAGTTTTCCTTCTAGTTTTCTAAAACTTCTATGCCATTTTAAGGTAAACTATGCTGCTTCATGAAAAATTCTTATTTATCAAAATCTTTATCAACGATTATATTTTTTTTGTACACTTAAGTTTTGAGATTATTTAGACAATAACGTTACTTTTCCTGTTTCTGAAGTAAAATTTTCCTCATAGTGAACTTTAAATATAAATGGTTATTAAGTTGTACTTCTCTATTCTATGAAAACCTCAACTAACCTACATTATTTAGCCACGCTAATGATTTTATGTTTTTATGCAGATTGTAAAATATTTGTTTCATTCTTTAGGAACTGTGCGTAGATCTCGTTAATTGATGCTGTGATCAATAAACTTATTTTGTCATATTTTGAGGTGTTTTTTAAAAAAAAAATTAAACGTTCCTTTCCTTGAATCAAATAAGAAAATTCACCTTTTCAAACTGAAATCATTAGCACCTTAATACAAAAGTTTGCAAGATATTTTAATGTGAAATATTTAAAATTTTAATGCAAATTTAAATAATTGGGCTGTTAGCCACTGGTGATGAAAGGTATTGCAAAACGAATTTCGCATATAATTCGTTATCATCGAGTATGTTGATAAGGAGAAAGGTTGACTGATTAGTGAGAGTAACATAAAATATTCTTTTCTAACACAAGCGAATTTCATAGATGAGTGAAATATGGCAATAGTTTCTAAGGAAATATTCCAATTAACCTCTGTAATTGTGAATGAATGAAAGAGGAGAAGGAATGAAAGACACAGTTCTATTTCATTTCATTCAAAACGTTCCCATTCGGCTTAAGTGTGATTGCAACATTATTATTGCTCAATGTGATCATCGACGAAGACGATAACCGCTTTCCTTCGATTCATTCATTATCATCGTTCACAAACTACTAATGCTTCGCATTACAAATGATGCTCATTTTAAGTGTCTTTGTATTGATATACGAAGATCTAATTACTAATGTCAATCAAAGCTTCGATTTCACATGGTAATCATCCCGATCCGAATTCCTCCCCTATCAGCAATCAAGGCCTTAATTAAATTTAATATCTACGTAATCTAAGACTGTGAAAAATGTTACTGCACATATGGAATCAAAAATTGTCTTCCAGAGAACAAGTTAACTGCAGCTGGTATAGAACCCATCTGTGTATATGTACGGCTATTTGCCTAATAGTGATCAAAAAAACGATGTATCTATTCAGAAATGTGGGATGAATAAAGTAGAAAAAGTTGTCAAATTTTTCGGAAAAGTGATTGAAAAAGAAGCATAAATCATTACATGCATGTGGCAGTACGATAACGGATTAGATAAGTGTTAGATTACTAGAAGAGAAAATGAGCAGAAGTTGATCTATTCCTCTGTCCTCTGGAAATTTGCGCATTTTATCTCTGTTCCTTTGAATGTCTCAAAGGCGGGCAGCTGTATAAACAAACATTCGGCATTTTCTTGAATAAAGTTATCTCGATTGTTTATTAAGAGATTGGCTACAGATGTACTTAATGTAAAGCCAGAATCTGCTATTTTCCTCCACTCTTTGAGATTTTAAACTCTACCAAATTAAATTAAAGAGGTGTTAGATAATATCGAGCAAGTTGTTTTTTGTAGAAGCCCAGAATACTAACTTCAATGGATGCTTAATCATTTATTTTAGAATAAATGACGAGATAATCTAACGCCGTCTTTACATCCATATCCGTAAGCGTGTTGGAAGTTTGAAATTAATTTCTCAGAACAAATCATCCTTTGAAGCATTTCAGTTTGATGTTCATAAAGGGTCGCGTTGGATGCGTCTTTCCACTCTTGTCAGAGCAACCACTAACATTATTTTTGTTAGCTGAGCTTTACTTAAATTTGTCATAACACTTTTGACGTCAATATAAACATTAACCTCATAAGCTATTAACTTGTTCCATGAAAGTTCGTGTACAGAAAAATAGCTGCGCTAATTTGACTATTATTCGTTTTTTTTTTTAAAAAAAAAGGCTGCTATGATCATCACGTCATGGGAATTACAACATTGAAAGGCCGATTTCTCTTCTTCGAAAATGTTGCATTATAGAGGTTATTGTTTGAATGTTTCCGATCAGTGACATTCTTTTTGAAGAAAATTAGCTGGACAGGCATGCCATGTAATTGCAATACAAGTATAAAAGTGAAAAGTAAATGAAGTAATGATACGTTGAACTTAATGTGCTACATTGCTTTCATGTTTGGTGCCATTTGGAAAAGTTCATAATTTAGGCTCTGCTCTCTTCATCTCTTCTATAAATAGTTGGGAGAAGGAAAGGAAACAATAACAATATCAGAATGAATGTGTTGTTGATGATATTAAATTATTAGTGAAGTGATACGTCGAACTTAATGTGCTACATTGCTCTCATGCCATTTACGTCGAAGTTCACTGGTTTGGCTTTCAGAAGGGGAACAGATGGCGAGCATTGAACGAACCAGTTTTCTTACACCATCGCTTTATTACAACTTACCCTCTACCCCTTGACGTCCTTTCCTTTGTGCACAACTTTTCTGATGTGTTGGTGCCAAGTGTTCCATCGTTATTAATTCTAATAGCCACAACTTTTAGCCTAATCAATTCATTTGTAAGATTAGTAGAGGGGGGAAGAAAAACAAATAAAACTTGCAATATGAAGGGACTGTAATTGATACAGGAATAAATAAAATGGATTATCGAAAATATTAAAAGGTGGCGTAAGACAATCTACAACGAATCGTTCATAAGGTGATTTTTCTTCCGATGAATTATTTTCAACCTAACGCAACTGGAGTACATTTTCCATTTTCAATTGGTCCCCGCAGTGGGGTGTATTGTTTGTGCAACATGAAATGCATGAATTGCAACGACCTGAGTAAACTTCATCCATTTGGGTGGGTATTTGCATTCTTCTGGTTCCAAGCGATATTTCCTGTTTGTTTGTCTTCATGCTTGTGTTATGCATGTGTATGTAAGCTATCTACGTTGTTTGTTCAGTGGAATAACTTCTGGGATAATATTGGATTTCTATCAAATTCACTTTATGCGTTTCGCATACGGCAAAAAGACAGGCGCTGCTGGTTAAAATTTCGCCAGGGATTGACAGTGGAATAAGTGAATTGTTCACAGATTTAACTTTCAATTCTCATCGCAATATATTCCCTAACACCTTGAGATTTCCGAAACTGACAAATTTCACAAATTCATGCCACGAACTTTGTCTAATAACGTGCATTAAAATGCAAATTCCAACTGCCCACAAACCCTGCAATGGCATCAAGGACAGCAACATTTTCGAGAATTTCGGTTCAACTATGGAAAGGAGAAAGGAGAAGAGAGGGAGAGCGAAGGGAAAAGAGAGAGAGGGCGCAGAAGAGCAGACTCTCCCTTCAATTGCATAGCTTCCTTGCCAAGATAAACATAGCACCGCCATTTGCTTGCAGTTAGTGAGTGTTACGGCAGTGTAGTGTTTACTTCGTAACTTATTCCGAGAATACCCTTCTACTTCTTTTTCACTCTCTCGTCATATCTCTCCTTCTCTTTCCACATTATTTTTCAAATAACGTCGTAATGATTGCTGGTAAGCTTCACACAATTTCGTTCTTTTCCCTTTTTATCCATCCAATGGTTATACATTCTGGACTTCTCACTTTACCGCATGCCGATACTTTTGCGGAGAAAATATTCTCTCTTTCTCTTGACGCTTTACGAAGAAAAAGAGAGAGGGAGGAGGAAAAGTACCGCATGACGGTCTCGTCTGCTCGTTAAGCATAGTGGCAAGTAATGAGCAGGTTAACACTCTTATCCTCTCTCCATCACTGCTCCTAAAATTTATCTTATCATCTTGCTAATCTCGTACTTTCATACACTCTCTTGTCATCTAAACCAAGACTGCAATTAAAGGGCTGCAGCAGTAATGCTATGCTATGAAGTGCTGTGATCCTCGCTGTCTGCTTTTTCTTCACTTCTCACCAAGTGATTGAAGGAGAAAGAGAGAGTTAGAGAAAGGAGGAAGAGGCTTTTGCAGCAATACTATCGCTTCCCTTGTTAATTGTAAGAAACGAGGGGTGGTGAAAAACTATCCTCCAAACATATCCCTCCCGTTCTTTTTCCCGCATTTCGTTTCCAGAGAGAGAGGGAGAGAAAGAGGGAGTAAGAGAGACGAGAGGAGACGTGCAGTGGTGCAGATGGCATGCAACATGCTATTGCATAAATTCGTCATCGATTCCGTACACAATATATTATCGGTATTCTTTCGATGATTTCGGATGAGTCTCTTGCAGCATAATAAAAGACTACATGAGAATATGAAGGAAGGAGAGAGAGAGAGAAGGAGATAGAGCCGGCCGTTCCCATCAAGCCAGTGATGACAGTTTGTTGTGTAGGCATTCGACATAACTACCAGCAGGCAGCCAAAGATGTCATTGCGTATGCTCGTTGCGCTGTGCGTGCGTGAATGCATGTCTTCCTATCACTCCCATCTCAATACTTTCCATACACAAGCGTACATACCACACAGAAAGAAGGGGAAAGAGAGAGAAAGACAAAGAGCGCCTTCCTCCCCTCCTTCATTCCTCTTACGGCTTACAACCGACTGCCATTCCGAAAAAAGTTCGCAATTAAAGAAGCAGCGATGAGTACTTGCAACAAAATGCAATTAGTGCTCCGTTTACTGAGCTATAACCGCCGCATCAATATTCACGCCGCGCGATGCATTACGCTGGCTTGCGCAGAATGCTAATTTCCCCCAATTTCCATTATTTCTTACCTCTTTGATCAATATTCGATTTCCATTAATTCATTATCTAAATCACTCTAAAGATATCTAGAGAGTGATATTAATTATTCACATTGCTACCTCTTTTGTAGTCTAATTCTGGCGATAGTTTATCTCAGGAAGGTTGATTTACTACCAACAAAAAACCCCTTTATACGGGGTGTTCCGCATCCATCATCATTGATCCGAGGAATCACGGCATCGCTCATAACACATTTCCTCACCAGCAGTTAATTTCCGCACTTTTGCAGGTAAAGATTTTTTTTGTACATACTGTGCCATTATTAATATTGCATTGTGGAAAGGTTGGTCTCCGCAAATCATGTGATACTTTCAATAAATCCTCTTGAATTCTTCTTTGTCTAATTAGTGTTCTCTGGAATGTTCATACCATCATGTATGACCTTCCGCCCCTGTGCATATCAGTTTCTGAATAGGAGGTCTTTTTGAAGCATTGCGGTACAGTGTAGAAAATGCGGTCAGATTTGAAGTGTATGCATCGTGTATCAGTTTCACTCACTGTCTTGATGCTCTATCGTAAATGTTATAAATATCAATTGCGATCTTATCTAGACTTTAACCGTCAGTGTATTTTAACCGTAGCGATAAGTCCTTTAGAAACTTGCATTCATGGTTTTATTCACATAAGCTTAGTATTAAATCTGATTTTCATCACTGATTCTAGTGAGCTGAAGTACCATATATGGTGTTTTGGCAGTATGGTTTACTTTGACAGCATGCTGGGCATAAGATATTTCGTGGGAATTTAGGTGCCTAAAAAAAACTAACTTTAATTTCCTTTATTCCCTTACCGTTTTAATATTTCAGTGATTATTTCGACTTTATATTTCCAAATTATCGAATAAAAAGTAGAAATGCTTTTTAGCTGCATTTTAGTAATGTACAGAATTTTTGAACATGGGGAAACTCGGTTTTGTTAAACTCCATTTTAATACTTTTCCTCTGAGTAGTTTTTTGTTGTGCTCTGAACTCTGTGGTTTTAACATGTTGTGCTTTTTCCATCGTTTGAAGGTACTATTATGTTGGTTAATTTGCAGTACGGTTTTATGAATCGTAATGGAAGTGTTTATGTTAGGTATTCATGTCGTGTGTGACATGTGCTCATCAGGATTCCGGCTAATCATAAATCGTATTGGCTATTTTGGGGAAAGGAAGGAAGGGTTTGACACCCCTTGCGAGGTTTGGAGAGTCGAAGCTTTTGAAAAAGAAGGAAGAAAGGGCCCTGAAGGACGGCGAATCGGCTTTTCAAAGGCGAGGAAGGCAACAGCGTGAGTAGGTGAGAGTTAGGGAATGCTTGAATGAAATGGAATGAATGCGCCGGAGTGTGGAGCATTGGAACATTCAGTTGGTTCGAGGTGAGTGGGTGACGCTCTTCTGCAGCGTCCCTGTCCGTTTCCCTCAAAACTCACACAAACATCTCTCATTTGAACAACTTTATGAAAAGGGAGGGTATGAAAGAAAGAGAAACGGAAAAGAATAGCACAAACACAGGCCATGCGAGAAGCACCGTGATTACATATAATTTATGATGTGTGTAAGTGATATATATGTATATGAAGTTTACCGGGGTTTCATATATGACAGCCTAGTGTATTAATTATTGTCTTCTCGAAGTTCGTCCATTTGTTGGGAAAAGTCTTTAGAAAATGGGTTTCTTTGGATTTCGTGAATAAGAATTTTTGCCTAGTCTTTTTACATAGCAGAAAATATTCGTATCCTTTTGTTACCGGAAGAATTGTGTCTAAAGAAGTTTGCTCCAATCTCATAAGGGGTCACAGATTGCATTAACATCGGACACAAATAGTACATTCAGGATGATTTTGAACTGTGGAGGTATAAACAACAAAAATCAAATTTGAACGATAATTTGATCGAAATTCCGCTATTTTTGACAGATAGTATGAACTTGAGGTACTTAAACGCAAGACTCAAAGTTGTTTCTTTGCTTATAGCTGTCGTGCATCGGTTGGAAAGGGTATTCTTTGTCGCTAATTAGTAGTGTGCTGCTATTCCTAATTTAACTAGCTTGTTTACTTGCAAAATGTTTTCAAATATAAATATAGTATATTCGTTTGTGGAACATAGGTTTTGCAGATGCGATGAGGGCCGTCATGAAAATTGCTCGATGACCTTGATGAATTGCTCTCAGCGTGTTTGTATGCATGTATGTACTCATGGAGTTATGCACCGTCGGTCCTATAGAGAACACATGCATACTGCTTTCGCATAATCCGATTTCGAAAACTTTTAGAATATGCTTGAGTGGGTCGTCGTATCTGACGCACGTCTATTAGAATAATTTGCACAACAATATGACGCCTCGATTTCTCATCTATGAGTATTATGCTCACTGACTTCACATTTTTAAATTATTTGAATCGTCACATTTTATTCGCAAGTAGCGATACGTATTAAAAGAATATTTTACGGTTGGAGATGTAGTTGCAGTATTATAAGGTAGATAATAATGCAGATATAGAATGAATTTGAACTAAGCGAGAAGTTGAAGTTGTAAAGGAGTGGTTCTCGCTCATTATGAATATGTTGTTTAGTAGTAGGTAATTAATAATATTCATGGGTGTACATTTCTCGTCTTTTGCGTTTGTTGTTCCTGTGTTCTACCTAAAACAATCACATTTTATGACTTTTTTTAAACCAACGGATTCTATGAATAGCGACTGTTTCAGTATGTCCCCTACCCCTCCCCTCAATTTCTCGCGCTGAATTAGGGGTCTTTCATATGTATGTTTAATGGTATGACTCTTCTCTTACAAGCCGTATAACAGTCAGTTTCCACATGCAGTAATATTAGCAACTAAAATGAGCACTCGAATTGTTTATTGAAGTGTGTTTTGCTGAGTGTTAGTTGAAGCAAGATTGGGTTTTAATGGTGGCAAGTAGACAGGCAGATATTAGGAAAGTTGGTTTGTATGGCACCACAAACCCAAAAATAAAAAAGTAAGCTTCTGTTTGTGATGCTCTTATTGATGTTATTTCAATTGTTGGTTTAGAAGAGCAAAAGTAATGACGATGTTGCGTGAGGTGTGCGATTGAAACATAAGGATTGAAATACACTTATAAGGCATATATATACATATATATATTTATATTTACCCATTTATTCACTGTTTATATTTATATATTTTTATACATATTGGGTAAATAGCCTACAGGCAAGCTCAAAGAAAAGAAACAACGAAATGAAGTGCATGAAAGTGCATTACTCCAGTTGTGACTTCTAGCGACGATCATCGTATTTATTCCATCTTCACTAACTACTGCCATCGTGTATTTGCGTGTGTGTGTGTAGGTATGGATGAGTATGTAAAATGTGCACAAGTTACTAACACTCAAGCAAATCCATCATGATACTGAAGTAACAACATAAAACATGCATGGCATTAGGCGAGGCAATGGAAAAGAGAGGTGATAGGGCGACAGAAGATGGACGGGGAAGAGAAAGGAAGAGGACCAGCGAATATAATACCTACCATCCGCTGGCTGTCTCAACTGTATATGAACGACGGTGTATCAGAACTTTCTTTACGTTCACCAGAAGGTCACCAAATTCGGGTGTCTGTAATCCAACTAATTAGTTTCATCCGTTCAGTCTTCAGCGTTCTCTTTTCTTATTTATAATAGCTAACTGCAAGTGAGAAGTGATAGTTTGGGTTTTGGTGTGCGTATGAATAAGCACTTTATCGCTTCACTTCTTATGGTTGGCGATTGTGCTGCTGCGTTAATGTACGCACTATTTTTCAATTTGTGTCCTTTTTTCTTGTTACTTTTGAAAGGGATATATGGTAATCGTTTCCAACTTATGTCCGTGTTGTACTTATATTTGTTTTAGCTTTGATTCTGTTAATAAGGTCAGTTAACTGACTAGTTAATTACAGCAAGCGGAATCGGGCAAGGGAGTTTTTTCGCCTAAATTTTTCGGTATTTACAGAAATAATTTGCAGCTAGAACAAGCTGGCTCGTCAAGTTGGCGGATGAAAGAAGAGCAGCCGCTTGATTTTGCGGGACCAACAACTGTTTCATCAGCTTTGTCAAATAATAATCGAGCCACACAGCCAACAGTGGCAAGCACTCATCCCTCTACAGCAATCTGCCAAGGATGCTTGGAGATCAAAAAGTAAGATCCCAACTTTATTTAATTGCATTTATATTCCCCAAATTTGTTCAGTTATAATTGTAACTAATGTGCATGCAGATCGCTACGATGATTATCAACTGTGTCGACTACGTTTGACAGAGATTGATGTAGCCGGAAATGCTAAGCTTCGTTTCATATTTGAATACGATTCGGTATACGTTCCAAGGCGCTAGACAGTTTTTCGTATCCGTAGTAACGGTTAGACCACAGATCAAGGCAGTCATCACTGACGTAATAAAGTAAAAGAAGTAAATCGTAAGTAGTCGTCTAAAATGAAATGGTTAGTAACGAACATATCAGGTATAAAGGATAGGAATTAGAGAATTTGATAGGGCTTCGGTATAGTACGCAATGCTTTTAATGTGTCATTTGAAACGATTCTGTTAACGTCTAGATTTGTGCGTACTTGATTTCTGTAGCTTTGGTTCTCTTTATTATGTTCTTAATATCCACATTTTTATTACTAGAAGTATACGATCAAGATTGTTTGGTGCTTGGATACTCTCAGAAACAGTCTTAATTTCCATCTTGATAGGTTCAATCCAGATTTCTCACTGTTAACTTCTAAATTATTTCTGTAATAATCCTTTACCATTTTCCCTTGAATTGTCAATAAAGTCTACGCAGTTCTCATAAAAGTATGTAGGCTACAGCACCTATTTTCTGTTCGTCGGTTTTCAGCCATTTTGAAAACTCGAGATTGTTTTGTACCGTAGGATGGAAAACCTTGAATATATGTTGTTCCCTGAAACTTAGAATTTTTTATCCCCTGAAGTTTTTGCCTGTTTTAATGAACGGCTTATATCTATTTGCATCAGTTTTTTCAATATTCCAACTTTTAGAGAAGTGCAAGAAATGAAACAGCATTTCGAGAGGAATATGCAAGCTCTTATCAATCAAGTTTGTGCTGCAACCGGTAGTGAACCGAATACTTTGGCAAGTTCCTCGTCAAGTCGGAAGAATACAGTTACTCCTGAATGTCCCGTTGCGTTGAGGCCACTGCCTGCACGTCAGTTTGTTTCCAAAATTTAAAAAACTAAATTTTGTAAAATCTCTAATGGCTTCTACATTTTCCACAGAAGGTTATGCCCAATATCGGGGAAAAAAATGAATATATGTTAAGTTCGATCGTCATATATACCGATCGGATTTGAATAAATGCCAAATCTGAAAAGCTTGTTTCGTCTCTGTTTATCGTTCACTCTATACACTTCAATAGGCGCAAATGCAAATAATGACATATACCTCATCTTTTAACGGTATTCCATTTGAGGCTGTTCACTTTTCTGCTATACTCCTTTATTTCAGTGCCAAACCCATTGTTGCAGTGGAATCCTTGGCTATTTCCATCACTGTTACAACAAACGAGTCCAATTTTACCAGCGAATCTACAGGAGCAGCTGCAGCTTGGTCCAATAAAAAGATGGAACTCATCAGGTCTCGATCGGAAATGCGACTCAAATGGTAATTCTTAAAAAGTGAAAAATAAAGACCCTCTAATCAGACTTATAATAGTGTTTCGCTAAGTATTGCCTTAAGACGGTTTGTTCAGAAACAGTATAATATGTCCATTTAATGCGTTGTTGCAGTAACTGTGAAATCTGTTAATAATTAAATAGAATGTACTTTTTCCTAATAGATAGGAATAATAGGTATTATGGCAGCAATTTTTGGATGATGTAATAAAGTAATCGTAATTTGCTTCTCATCGTTTTGGATACAATTATTATGTCTGATTATTTTTTCTGTAAAATATTATTTTTTTTTCACCTTTTTTCGAAATATGGATGTAATTCGTTATTTAAATGAAGCTATATGATTTGTATGTTTTTATCATATTACCCAGGCGATGCACAAATAGATCCCGTAAGCATTGATAACAACAACGATTCGTGTTCAACGCCTGTTTCAGCTACTACCAAGAGTGTCATTAGCAGTACAGATGTGAGTTTTGGCTTGGAGATTCTTTTAATATCGACCTATTTACACTGTAAACGATGTGGTAATCGAAAACTTGTACTTTTTTTGTTTTCTCAGAGCTTCAAGTATTAAGACTGCTCTTATTAGGGCTTTAGATTGTAAAGATCTTTGCGAATCGTTCTGTAATTTATGTGTTGTTTGTGTCTGCATTTAATGAGGATTACCAAAGTATTTGGGAACTTCATGTATTATGCAGCTATTGATAATTCTTGATTTTTTTGCAGAATGCAGCACATGTATTCGCGTCGAAGTTGGATTCACTATCTTCTCTAAATCCTTTACTTTTGCAACAGCACCTGCTACAGCAACTGGTTGTGAATGGTCAGGGTCATCTGGTGCAGTCGTCATCAACGCAGATGCATCATGTACAACAGCAAACACGGCACGAACAACAGTCTAAACAGGATCATCCTCCACAGCTTCACCTAAGTTCCGCGAATGTCGTTGATCAAGCAGTATGTTATTGTAGCTGACCATTTACTCCATTCAAATGGACTTGTAAAAACCTAGTTTTTCCTCAGAATATAAGTACTGGAGCATAAAATTGTCATCTAGAACATTTTGTCGTAAAATATGTTGTTACCAACAATTTAAGCAGATGTATTTAACGAAGGGGATTATCGTAGTAAAGTTCTAAAATAATTTGAACGAAGTAGATTTGATGTTTAACAGAATTGTTTCAGCTAAGCTCTGGTCTTCCAGCTCATTTGGAAACATTAGCTGGACGAAATCAGCAAGCTCATCAGCATCTGGTTCAGCAGATGTTGAACAATAGTCAGGGTTCCCAAAATACCTTAGTACGACAGCAACGGCAACATCTTACTACTGCTTCACCCTGTCGAAAGGTATTTTAATTTTATCACTGCTGCAGAAGTTATTATCATTTGTTGTGGAATTTGTTTTCATCAAATTTTTACTTTTTTCAGAAGCCTGTGTCAGATGACTATGTCAAATTCATACGTCAAAAGGGCATTTCGCAGAGCAGCATTTCAGATATAAAAATTCCGGTGCCCCAAGCTTATCTTTCAGATCCAGGTTAGTATAATTACTTAATTTCAAATCACCAAATTTCAGGCGAATTCGGGATTTCTTCCAAACTTTTTTAAAAATTTGGTGGAAAATTTTTCGTTTCATCTTTTCAGGTTTTACGCCTTGTAGCGAGGAACAGATTATTCATCAATTTCATCAGAATCGTCGCTGTGATGATGATGTGCGTAAGGCAATGGCATTTCTTTCGAAAATGTTGGCTGAAAAGCGGGTATTTGGTACCAAGTTAATGGCGCAAACGACCGTTGCTGGTCCAAATCATTCAACTTACAAAAATCTTCCTGAGGAAGGCATTCACTATATTGCTTGTAAGTTTTTGAAACATGAAATAGAGGTTCTTAACAAATTTTACCAACAGAGATTTAGGATAAATTAAATAATTTCTTGATATATCAGTTCAATCACATTAGGAATTGCTGGCATATAACTTGATAATTGAATGAAATTTACATCAATCTTTCATAAGACTGCCATGTTACAGATGTGTGTCGTAAAGTGATGATGCATCGAATCCCTAACGAGGACGAATTTTGGGAAGTGTTTCGTGATGTAACGCGTAAACTGGCTGCTCGTTGTCGACGTGTACGGCATTCAAAAAAGACAAGAAGCGAAGAACGCGATGCTAAACGACTTCGTGAAAGCAGTGCCATGGAGCATCATCGCCATCACCATTTGCAAATTAGTACCACGGCTGCTGTCACTGTTGATGATGATACTTTGAAAGCTACTGCTCCACTCCTTTCTAATTTGAAAGGTAATGCAACAGATAATTTCAATACAACCCTGGAGCATCATTTACAAGTTGAAGAACATCCGAAAGGTATACAAAGTACCCCATTGCAGGCATCATTTAAGCCCGACACTAGTGTTGCCTAACATCTCTTTGCTTCTGTTCTGATTTAGGACATTAAACGATGCAATTTAGTTTTTTCTTTTTTTGATACGCTGTCTTTTTAATACATGTTCAAGTCACAGTTTTCCTTTATAATTGTGATTGCTAATCAAGTTAATAATAACAGTGACTGTTACTAGTTGGAGTCAGTAGTGAATCAGAGACTTTCTTTGGGAATTTAAATTCATGTTCAAATAGTTCGTTCCTAGAATCAGATGTTCAGTTAGTCATGCAGAATTTGGAATTCGCGCAAAACATAACAAAAGTTTGGATTATTCATTTATTGCTTCCCACTTTACCTACTGGTTTTCACTGATTTTCTGCTCGGCATACAACTGGTCAATTTTTTCAGCAGTCACGCTAATGAATCGTTCATTTGTGCTGTTTTTAGAATGTGACGCAGTGTGGTGCTGTTTTTTTACTTACTGTTCACCTCTTTGTTATTTTCAGGGATACTTTTTAATCAAGTTACGATTTTCTTCCTTTATTTTCTTGGTTTCACCTCAGGTGTTGTTTTCTCCTATTTCAGGTACCAACTCAGGTCCATTTTTGTCATCTTTTTTTCATTTTTTTTTTTGGGTTTGCCAGTATTAGACCAGTTTTACTTACAGAAAATTGTATATTAGATTTAGGTTAAATTTTTAAGAAATTCTTCGCATTTTTCTTTATGAATGCTTTGCTCTGTTCAGTTAAACAAACTCGGTGTGTTCTTTTCTACTTCACTGTATTGCCAGTCATGTTATAATTTGTTGAATTTTTTATAATCATCCGCTTTTTCCCATCAAGAAAAACAATCAACAGGCCAAACTTAAGCTTATATGTTTACAATTATAGTGAACGTAATGATAGTTTAGAAAATGAAGTATGATACAGAAGATGCAAGGGCGAACTTAAAAATATTTGTTAGCCCGGTATTTGATTTAGTTGACTACATTTTATTATATAAAGTATAAGCAAAAGGGGGCTGGAATACTGTCTGCAAAAACTGGTGCATTTGTTTCAATAAATTTTGTCTCGTAAAAACGGTTCGGTTTTTCAGTCTTGGGGAAATATAAGGTGGTCACTGTATATTTATGTGTGTGTAGCTGGTCAGTGCATTTTGCTGTTACTCAGGAATGTTGTTATTTTTTCATTCGTTGTACTATGACTACCTCAGGTCCAGATTAACTTTTGTTTGCATCGACTTCATTTCTTTTTGTTCGATCTGGTTTTTCCTTTCATTTTTTAATCGGCAGGATATTAGCTCAGTTTTTTGAACAGATCCATTCTACATGGATCTGGACTGAGTTTTACCTCAGTGAATTGAAAATAAGTCATAAGATCTTTTTTTTTTTTTTATCTTTTCCCCTTCTTTTTTCTCTTATTTTTTTCTTTTTTGTCTGTTTTGATGATTTTCTAGTGATGTTGAATTTCTTGTTCACTTTAAACGCAGTGTGTTTCTGATTCTCAGAGATTTCACTGTTTTAATTGCTTATTTCTTGCGTGCAACCGCGCTCATGGTGTTGCATACTGTTTACATCAACATTTTCGATTTAAATCGAAAAAAATTTGAAGTTCGACGATATATTGGGGTCTTTCTTTGCAAGTTATTTGTTCCTTGATTAGGATGACCATCTGAAGCTGTGGGAAAGTCTATGATGCTATGAATATCTGATAACTGCTGTCATTGTTCTTTTCCCTCATTACTGTGGTTCATTCTTATATTCACTGTTCCATCTGCAGTTTATTGCATTCCTTGATGTTTACCTCAAACACCATTTTTTTCTTAAATCATTTCGCAAGAACTGGCTCTAGAAAGTGTGTAGGGCTAACTATAGCTTGCCAAAAGTTTCTCGTAAAAATCGTCTTTTATTTGGAAGTCCTGTACTATGTGGAAAGGGTAAATAAACAGTGACTAAGTTCTTGTTGTGCAGATTGGGTGTAATTGTTAGTCCATCTTGTCGGATTATGTGGTAAAACTTTATTACGTCGAACTTCCTCCGGAAGTGCAGATATGTTATGGCATTCGGTGATTTTCCATTTCATATCGTGTATCTTCATGAATTTTCTTGGTGTTTATGTCTTGTGTTACATAAAAATTGCTGGTTTTGTCATGTTGGGATTGCTAATGCATGTCACATCTCTCCAGGAGGTGTTGGGATTGCTAATGCATGTCACATCTCGAGAGGGGCATTTCACAGAATGGATAGATAACGCGTAGGAAGAGGTGCGGGGACAGCACGGACTTGTTCACGTTCCAGTAGGATTTGGCTGGTTAAAATTTCTTTGATATATACATCAGGTTAATGAATGCCGATCGTTTGGTTGTTGGAGTTCATTTTTTAATTCAGAAAGAGTCAAAAGGGGCTTCAAAAAGGTGCCGTCATGGCTTTTCATGGACTGTTGGGGAGTGTATAATTTATACTTTCCAAAATGAAGCGCCTTCATGAAGAAACCAGGCATTGTAAGAACTGAGAGTAAGCATCAAAATAATGCATCGAATGACTAACTTATCAAGTCAGGGTTTTCACTTTTTGGCTTAAAGTATATGTATAGAGCTGACTTTAATTTTTCCACCATAACAATAAGGAGCTATGAAAAGCTAATACAGGGAAACTTCCTGTAACGAATAATATATATCGATGAGCACGGGATGTTACGTATTCTACTTCACAACCGCATGGTGAATGGATTCCCTGCCAAAACGCAATGTCGCATATTCTCGTAAATACCATTGCTCAAATATACCCATACCGAAGCTAACCACCCTTACAAGACCTGAGCGAATCTTAAATACCAGCAATTAGCAAAAGAGCGAGTAAGTAATTCACCATTACATGAGTACTTTTTTTTTTAAGTTCCAAAAAACAAAGGCGCTGGCTAAGGGATGAAATGAGGTAGTGAAATAAAAACCACGACATGCGCATTCACTACAGCTTTGGAACACTTCTTTCTCATTTTTTCGAAATAACCAATTGAAAAGTGGTAAGTCGTGTTATAAGGGTAATGATTCATGACACAACTCTAGTTGTTCGCTCTTAAGAATGGCGATCTAGTCTTCAAACTTGAATATACTTGATATTATTACTAATAGAGTAATTATAGCTAACAAAACATTATTTGGACGACTTGAATTTTGATAGAATTATGAATTTCAGTATGTTCCATTCAACCAGGAAGTAGTCGAGAGTTTAATACGTTAATGCTATGACTTTAAGGCGTTCAATGGGAATTTGTCCGAAAAAAGGCTTCAACAAACGAGATCATGAGTATAAATGGAGAAAACATGTTAAAATGTTGATTTAAGTTACATGTAAAAAGTTGAGGGAAAAAACCATGAGGAAAGTTTCCAAGACGCAGAAAACAGCGGAAAATCAAAACGGGGAGCAAACAGTTCACGGCTACAACATAGTAATATCATATAATATCAAAAAAAGCAAAAATCAAATTAGATGCTGAAATCAATTGCAGATAATCGTCATAACAAGGTGCCTAGCTGAAAAATTAACTCTCAACTAGTAGGAAAATATCTGTTGTGCACCTGTTTACAAACAAAATAAACAATGATATTAAACAACAAAAGAAAGCTTACTTATTTGTTGCTCTGCTTCCTGTTTAGATTTACCACAGCAAACAAAATAAAAACAAATTATGACACAATTTCACAAAATAACGGGCAAGGCATTTCCAAACAGCGTACCATTTAGACAATGAAACAACGTGTTTACTGGCTACTGAAGCCTGATTGTTTTGGTAAGTTTTCGTGATTTCTAAAGAGAAATTAAAACACAGCTCAGAGAAAATAACACTACATTTCGAAAAATGTTAGAATTAACGTTAAACTGTCTCAGAAAAACGAAACACTATTTTTAAAAAATAAAATATTGATGGAAAAATAATGGGCCAGTCGAAAAACTAAATTACCAATTATTTAACGTTCTCCGCAAAATTCTAAAGTCAAATATAATGAAAAGGTAAAGAAAGGGATTAATTGATGAGGTATACTTAAACATTAGCTAAGGACGCCTGATGAGAAATCCGTACGAAAATAATCCTACCGAAATGAAAATTTTATTAACTTCAGCGGAAGGAATGCAAAATTTAGTGTCCAACGGCAAAACCTGAAAATATCCCTCACGAGATTATTTTCGCAACACAAAAAACTTGAAAAATTGGTTGAACATTCGGCAAAAAACACATAAAAGCCTAAACTGATTGGTGCCTGGAATGAAAAGTAAACAAGATAAAACAAATTCCTCGCGGAAACTTAAAAGGCATCTTTGACAGCAGTAGCTCAGTAAAACACAGTTAAATATTGTTGACTATCATTAATACAGAGCAAACACACGAAAACATTCCACAATTCTTTCCAATGATTGTAACTTTTCACTTGCACAAACTCTTCAGCTGCGAAAAATCTCGTTACTTCCCCCGAAAAAGTCAATTTTCAATGAAACCATATCTGTATTTATTTTAGTGCCCAATCCCATCCTTGTTTCGAGAAAATTAAATATTGAACAAGGTATCATAATTCAGGTTAATCTAATCCCCCTATTAAAGTTCTGATTTGATCAGGACATAGAAACAACGGATGAAAATGAATATAATATTGATGAGTTGACAAACAATGAAACTACTTCCTGAGACTGTGCAAATTTAATACGGAAATTCGTGAATTTTTATCGACCAACAGCACCAAATGAACTGGAATGACTGTTACCATAGTGATGGACAATAGGTTGGGTACGCTGATGACTCGTTGGGATAATCGCAAATTGGGCCATTATTGGTATGTGGTCTGAGGGCACGTGGGGGTGTGGGAAACCGATTATTTTATTTGCCAGCACCCACTCCATATTTAGCGGTCCTAACACTCCCAAGCGAGCTAATGATTGCGGCGTCGAGAAGATGTAATCGATAACACCTTTAAATTCAAGCCTGAAATTCACGCTTTTTCACGATTCACAGATTTTTATTTGGATAACTAATAACCAGCAACAATGGG